TAAGTAAGTAAGTAAGTAAGTAAGTAAGTAAGTAAGTAAGTAAGTAAGTAAGTAAGTAAGTAAGTAAGTAAGTAAGTAAGTAAGTAAGTAAGTAAGTAAGTAAGTAAGTAAGTAAGTAAGTAAGTAAGTAAGTAAGTAAGTAAGTAAGTAAGTAAGTAAGTAAGTAAGTAAGTAAGTAAGTAAGTAAGTAAGTAAGTAAGTAAGTAAGTAAGTAAGTAAGTAAGTAAGTAAGTAAGTAAGTAAGTAAGTAAGTAAGTAAGTAAGTAAGTAAGTAAGTAAGTAAATAAATAAATAAATAAATAAATAAATAAATAAATAAATAAATAAATAAATAAATCTTAGCAATGAGTGATACGACAAGTCATGTTTCTACTAATGAGTACTGGCAATGTATTACAAAGTAATATCCCAGAATAGTACACAGCTTGCAATTTTATATAAATGAAGATACTCATTTACAAAAACAGGACAATTAAAATTGTTCTTTGAATGCTTGAGTCCATCATGGCCATAGGTACAGATTTCTGACAAACAGCATCCAGGTGATAGGAAAGTGGCACACAACTAAATATACTTAGTGTGTCTGAGCTTCAAATACATACTGGGGGAATAGGAAGGAAGAGGTAGAAAGGGTAAAGAAAATATTTGAAATTCAGGTAAAACACAGTTCTGATGAGCTCTAGAAATGTCCCTCTTCCTGTCCCAAAGATGTCCTTGCCTGCTGAATTCAGAATACTAGCCCTCCCTTCAAACTGGGGGGTGGTGTTCTTAGATGGATCTTTGAGAGAGAAAGGGAATGGGTGGTGATGGTGGTGGTGGAGGAGGATACCTACAAGATCAAGGCAGTGTTTATGGGAGACAAAGACCAAGAACAACTACTGAAGGGGGAAAACAATAATGGCCATTTCTTGAGTAACTTTCTGACCACTTCTTATTTTTGTCATATCACTTGGGACAGGTGGGTGGGCAGAACTTTTCCTGTTTATAAGGCACACTATAAACCACAATCAGTGGATTCCATCAGCTTGTTTGGCCCAGCCACAGCACTGAAAAATCTGAATTTGCTGCATTGTGTATGATCCAAAAATCATACAGAACTCTGCAACGCCATTCCTGTACCACCTTCCACCTTCCCATCTTACCTTGGAATTTGATGGAGTTGTTGATAATTTCCAGCGAATCAAGTATGGCATTAAATTCTCCCACCTTCACTTCCTTTTTGTCTGCAGGGAAACAAAGAAATGGGATTGTTTATGTCAGCTCACAAACTCCTCTTTTCCAATAGCTACTATAGTTACCTGTCTGCCTCTCCTGTTGTTACAGTACTCACAGGCAAGGTAACATATGAAAGGACTCACAACTATATAGAACTTGAATTGTGGCAAGATTTTAAAGCATTATCAATACCATGTTGCTTAGTGGCAATACGAGTACAATAATGATACCAATTGGCAAGATAATTTGTCTTTGATGTTTCAGGGAGGGAAGAGAAATGACACACGGATGCCCAGCCACAACTACACTGAACTCCTGGATTTCTGTTTATTTGTAAATGGGGCAACAATCTCTCTCACACATATATATGTGAGGATATACGCACACACTGTGTATGTATATTCATCTTCTTTGACTCTCATATATATATATATAAGTCAAAGAAGATGAATGTACATACACAGTGTGTATGTGTATCCTCACACATATATGTGTGTGAGCACACAGGGAGAGAGAGATTGTTGCCCCATTTACAAATATATATAAGAACATATATATGAGAACAGTTGGAGCAGGGCTCCTGAGATGTTACATCCTTGCTTTCTAACTCCTTCCTTTCTTTCTGCATCCTTGATTTTTTTTATTTCAAAATTTTCAGCGCTTTGTTTGATGGCATTTTGCCAGAAATTTCAGTCTTGAATGAAAGCATCCAATTGATACTGTCAATATTAAATTTCTTCAGTGAATCCTTGAATTGTTTCTTTTGTCTATCACACAATTGAGCACCCGCAGCAAGTTCTTTATAGAATATACACTTCAGGAGACAGTCATCCGACATGGCCAGCTCACTGAAATCTTTGTTTCAAAATTGTAAGGATGCTTGTCATTTGTATTCCAGGTTTTCATTGGCAGGGATTTTATCCTGCCCTTTGATGTTGAGAATTCTCTGAAGACAGGTAAGATAAAAGTGATTGAGCTTTCTCGAATGCTACTAATAGTCTAAGTCTTTGCTCCATAAAGCATACATGCATTCCTTCCTATATGTGGGCATTAAAATTATCCAGGAAGGTCCTTCTATAAATAGAGGGTATATCAGTGATTGTGGTGACTTGATTCATCAGCGAAAAGCACTGAACGTGAGTGTGTCAAGTTATGGTCTCAACCTTCTTTAAGTCCTTCCTCAGCTCTCTGAGGCAGCTTGCTGCCATGTAAACTCTGAGGGAGAAAAAGAAAGCCCTTCCTTTCATGGCAGATATTCCTCTCCATAAAAGGACACTTTTATTGTTCATGTGGAATGCAGATTGATAGCACTCAGTGCCTTAAAATATAATTTTTTTCTGAGTATCATTGTATGAATGCTTTATCCTTCCTCAAGGCATTGTTGTTTAGCATGCAAGTTGTATATCATGCATGGTGAAGCAATTCTCTCTTCAGACATTTTTTTTCTTTTAATTCTACTATTTCTGAGGGGGAAAAATGAACCAGACAAACTCATGCTATTTTATATGCTTTTATTCAATCCATATTTCATATACAAGAAAAAAATATCTCTAAAAATATAAACACTTAGAACTAGAGCTTGGGGTATTCATATTCATATATAAATATGAATATCCCCCCCACAGCTGGAAATAACTTACCATTGCGCCATTGTCCACAATAAATTAGCCATTCCTGGCAGGAGGCGGGATGATGAGCCTCTCTGCGAGGTTGCAGAGTGGCTAATCCATTGCGGACAACGCTGCGATAGGAAGGCTCCATCGAGCTGGCGTCAGCAGCAGAATGGTGAGTGGACCCTCATTATTTCCACCTGTGGTGGGATATTCATATACGAATACGAATACCCCCATCTTCACTTATAACCATAAAGAGTAAAATAAGAAAAAGATATTTTCAGCTATATTCTAAATTGTTAAGCATATATGTCTAAATGTAATATATATTCTTAAGCAATGTTGACTCACATTAGGAACACAACATTGAGGGTATCTTATCTATGCCAGCATCAGAATCATGAGTTGTAGGCCATATTGTCAATTTCTTCTCTCCTCCTCTCTCTATCTAAAATGTGCCATGCTTATATGATCTTCTTCTATCAACAAACTGAGGTTTATCTATTACAGTGGTGCCCCGTATAGCGACGTTAATCCATTCCGGATTAATCATTGCTATGAGGAAACATAGCTAAACAAATCGAAAAAACCCATAGGAACACATTAAACTTGGTTTAATGCATTCCTATGGGGCCCAAACTCACCGCTGAGCGAAGTTCCTCCATAGCGCCACCATTTTCGTGCCCTCGGCAAGCGGTGGCCATTTGGGGCATCTGGCGGCCATTTTGGAACCACCGATCAGCTGTTCTAGGAACATCGCAATGCGAAGATCAGTAAGCGAAATGCTTACCGATCATCGCAATGTGATTTTTGCCCTATCTAACCATTGCAATGCGGTCGCATTAGAGATCTAAAAAAATAGATCGCTGTGTGAATTCGTCGTTAAACGGTGCATTCATTATGCGAAGCACCACTGTAGTAAGATTGGCTTTTATCTGTCAACATCATACTATTGCTGACATTAGGGTGCTAGTCTAGAATCAATTTCTAAACAATTATACTTGCTGTTAATCAAAATTTCCCTATTTTGCTTGAACATTATCTGGCCTTGCATAGTGTCCTACTGTAACAGATATATATTATCAGAGATTTTAATCCAAACAAGCAAATCATCTCTAAATGTTTGCTAGCTATGCACACACACTTTATCTGTTTATCTCTTTAGTAAACTAAGCAGACCCATTACATACAAAAAATATGAAAATATTCACTTTTCATTTCCAAAAACCAACTCTAACAAGCAAAGGTTCAGAATGACCCTCAAGAATGCAGAAATGTTTATTTTGGAATGGTATTTTTTTTTTACTTTCAACTTGACAGCCTAATGTTGCTGTTAGACTGACTGACTGATTGATGATGATGATGATATGTTTATGTTGCTGCAATGAATATGTGCTTCAGGTGGGATTGTTCTGCAGCTAACAGAAGGACCCAGGATCCAGGTGAGAAGGAGAATGTTTAAGGGGCATATAACATCTTCTACCTGATAAAACTGAGACTTAACAAATATTATCAATATCTTCAATCACTCTAGCTAAGAACCACCACCCCCCAAAATGATCCATTAAAAGGACTATAAAGGGGGAAAATTATGCATGATAAAAATGGGTAAAAGTACAGTTCCTTCCTGCCAGACAACTGATAAGAGGAATTAAAGATATCAGTGAGACATCTGTGGAATAAAGTAGAATAAAACATAATAAGAATTTTTAAGCATCTCAGGACTAAATAAAGTTCCATCCGTGCACTAGTTATTAGATAAAGATGGCAAAGCTGTCAGGCATGACACAGTGATGGGGAGGCAGCATTTATGGCAACAAAGTACCTATTCTACCTAGTATTAGCTGGGAATGGAGAGAAAATTTTAACAGACTTCTGCAAGTTCAAACTGGAATTACACATTACTCTTCTGAAAATAAATGTAATACTGAAAATCAGTTTGAAAGGCATATGTGAATTTTTCACTTTAATAGCATGGCCACAATCTGGCCAGAAATTAAGCACTGTTGAAAGCCAATGGAGAAATTAGAATCAAATGTTTCTGTCAGCTGGATTATACAACATGACAGATTGCCTACTTTCTAATGTGTTCCTTCTCCGCATTTGCAAGAGCTATGCTGCTGAACATGAAACACTGTTTTTCTTCTCCTCCCAAGGCTGGTCCTATCATTGTAAAAGGTGAGGTAACTGCCTCAGATGGCAATTTTTGGATGTGAAGAAAGGGCGGCAACATGTTAATGGTCAAAATTATTTTGATTGTATTTGGACTGCTAAGGATAAGAAGGGGCACGTTAGTAATTTTCATCCTATGTGTTATGACAACTTGGCTGGCTTGGGTATACAGACCAGGGGAAAAGGCCAATGGATCAAAACCATAATGTGTGAACAGGCAGCATGTTGGCAAATGTGGTTCAGTTTAAGTATGTGCAAATACTGCATGTTGGAACAAATGAGTAAATTTTAATACATAAACACTGAGGGAACAGTGAGTTGTTAGCAAAAGACCTGAAAAGGAATCTTGTGATCATGGTGGATGGCTCAATAACAATGTCAACTTCTTTGTTATGGTAGTTCTTGGAAAGTCAAATAAATGTCATTAACATTTTTTTCAGAACGACAATAAATTTTGTTTTTCAAAACAACAACAAAATCTTTGCTCCAAGATATTGCAGTGGAGAAAATGGTGAACTCCGTGTGGAAGAGGATGAAAAATAAAACTCTCAACCTCATTATGCCATTAAATAAACTCATAGTTTGACCACACATGGGATACTGTATGTTTTCCATGTTTAGTCACCTCTTCTCTTCCATCTCTTTAGGTCAATTCTCTGTCCCATATGCCTCAACCAGTTCTACAGAGAACTAAATTAGTGGCCTTTGCAAGCTCAGAGAAAATTATTATTTGGGCAGAGAAGTCTGCTCTCTGTTGCAGTGTTCAATCTGTTTGCCTCCACATACATGCAGCCATTATATTTGTAAATAGACAGACAGACAAATAGACAAGCATTTTAGGGAACGCCATAAACTTCTCCCAAAAGAGACAACCTAATTAACTCACATCACCTCTCAAACTTCTCAAAGGTCAGAGAAGTGAAGTAAGCATAACAATACATGTGCATTTTAGCTTTTCAGGCAAGGCAGGTCATAGAACTGACTGCCTAACAAGCTCACTTCTGTCCATAAGAAAAGTATAATAAAGAGCAGCTTCATCACAGAGGCAGACAGGCTCTTTCAACTTCTTGCTGGAGATTGCAGTTTCCATTGGTACTGCAGTCATTTTCCTTTCCAAGGTAAAGGTAAAGGTAAAGGTTCCCCTTGACAATTTTTGTCCAGTCATGTCCGACTCTAGGGGGCGGCGCTCATCCCGCTCTTCAAGCCATAGAGCCAGCGTTTGTCC